CTCTATGCTTACTGATATTGACTCTCGCCAAGAGGTGGTTACATCTATTCAGGAATATTTTCAGTCTAACTCGACTCCTGATATATCTTCAGCCACACTATGGGTAGCCCATAAGGCGGTCCTATGTGGCCGCCTTATCTCTATGGCTTCATCCAGAAATAGAAAACGATGGCAGCAAATTCTACTTCTTACCCGAGAATTAGAAGCACATTATAGAAATCATATTGCTAATCCATCTCTTCTTAATAAACAGTTATTGTCCCAAAAGCATTTAGAATTGAATACTCTGCTTTCCCAAAAGACTGAAAAAGCTCTCCGCTGGTCGAAGGCCTCGTTCTTGTTACATAGCAACTCAGCATCCACTCTGTTTGCAAGGAAATTAAACCACTCTCTGCGCCCCCCCCACGTTTATCAGTTACGCACTAACTCGGGCGCTATCTCATCTTTACTTCAGGAACTTTTGGGTATTTTTGAAAACTTTTATTCTAACCTATTAGCTCCTCCACAGTCGGATTCTGTTCCACCATCTGACTCATGGCTGGATTCTATACCCCTCCCTGCTCTTACACCTTCTCAGATTGCCTCTCTTAATGCCCCCTGTACTTTGGAGGAAATAACTTGTGCGATTAGCACGCTAAAAAGTTCAACTGGGTCCTGACGGATTCACCGCTAGTTATTACAAACATTTTGCCTCTACGTTGGCTCCCTATTTGATAACTTTATTTAATGATGTTTTGCAGGGGGGTAGGTTCCCTGAGGAGATGCTGTTGGCTAATATGTCTTTAATACCCAAACCACAGAAAGACCACTGTCTACCACAGAACTATAGACCAATCTCAGTAATGAATAACGATCTGAAAATATTTAGCCGCATTTTGGCAGACAAGTTGGCCCCTATTATCTCCTCTTTGGTCTCTCCGGACCAATCAGGCTTTATTCCTGACAGATTCATTACTGATAACATTCGCCTCATGCTAAATGTTATTCAAGATGCCAATTTACATTCTAAAGAGGTTCTGTTGATGAGTCTAGATATAAACAAGGCCTTTGACAGTGTTCTTTGGCCTTATTTATTTTCCTTGCTACAGAAAATGGGCTTCAGTGACGAGTTTTTAGCTGATATACACGCCCTATACGACTCTCCTAAAACGAGAATAAGGCTTCCTGGCTGCAATTCGGACTTTTTTACATTGGGTAGAGGCACCTGTCAGGGCTGTCCTCTTTCACCCCTTTTATTTGCGCTGGTGTTGGAACCTTTGGCAGTAGCGATCAGATCACATCCAGATATTTCTGGCTACCCATTATTAGTTTCACATTTCAAAATAAGCATGTATGCTGATGATGTTATGCTTTTTCTCACTAACCCATTAACTTCATTGCCTAATTTATGTGCCGTATTGAACGATTTTGCTATAGCGTCAGGTCTTACTGTTAATTTTACCAAATCGGTGGTTGGGCCATGGATCGGATATCCTATTTACGTATTAATCTCACTCCCAGATACTCGGATATGTTTGCTGCTAATTATCCACCATGTGTATCACGTCTCTCTACTCTATTGAACGTTTGGCATGGTTACCCTATTTCATTTCTGGGTAGAGTCACGGTGGTTAAAATGAATATTTTGCCTTAACTACTTTATCTTTTTAGAGCACATCCAGTTCCGGTCTCGAAAACGTTTTTGGACCACTTTCAGCGGACTATTAACAATTTTATCTGGGGTAATAAGCGTCCACGTTTTGCTTCATCTATTTTGTACCGCTCGCAACGGACGGGAGGTCTCGGTCTTCCCAATTTTTGGCTATATTACCTCTCAGCTCGTTTTGCGCAACTATCACAATGGGCAACTATTAACTCTCAGATCCCATGGATCAAGTTTGAATCTCAGTCTATACGCCCATTCTATTTACCGGGTATTTTGTGGTCCAAAATCTCCCCTCGATCGCTTACTTTTCATAACTCCATAGTGACCCAATCACTGACACTTTGGTCCAAATACAAATTTAAATTGAATCTGGTCTCTCTTATTCCCCAGGTATTTCATTTTTTGGTGATCCTACTTTTGTTGCAGCTTTTTCTTCTCCTCAAATGTTTCATTGGTGGTATGATCGATCTTTTATCAGATTATCTGATTTTCAGAGGAGGATCTTACATTACCTTTGATATGCTGCGCGTGCTTTTTGATGTTCCTCTTCGTGAGTACCATCGTTACCGACAGATTAGACACTTTTTTAATTCACACTTTGGCCTTATACCATCTTCTCCGATTTCCTTTTTGAACATACCAGCCGTGACTCTCCTAAGGGTAGGGGTCTTATTTCTGATCTTTATCACCAATCTTTGATCTGTCTTTTTCATATACCCCCTTTATACAGACAAAAATGGGAGGAGGATAGTGGTATCACTTTTTCAAATGAGGATTGGGATTCTATGGTGGATAACATATGTAAGTGTTCTAGATCTCTTTCTGTTCGTGAGACAGCTCTTAAGGTTCTAACCAGATGGTATTATACCCCATCAAGACTACATGTATTGTTCCCACAAACATCCCCTTTATGTTTCCGGGGCTGTGGCCTCACAGGTACTTTGGTTCATATATTTTGGGATTGCCTGACCATATCTTTGATTTGGTGCAAGATATCTGAGGTGGCTACCTCACTGGCGGGTACCCCGGTATGATTGTCTATACAGACCTGTCTATTGGGGGCTCATATCCCAGGGGTCTCTGATGCCATTATGAGATTGATACATACTATATGTATTGCCACTTTATGGTCTATTGCCTTACATTGGAGGTCCAATGCTGTACCCTTGGCCTCCGTTTTACACAGAATTGATGCTGTAATGCTCATGGACCGCATTCATTATACCCTACTGGATAAGATGCACTTATTTGATAAAAAATGGGAGCCATGGAGGGATTATAGACATTTATTGCATGATTAACAACGTTTCCAGTGAAAGTTGACTGGCATATACTGTTGACAGAAGTATCATTCAACCTACCTTACCATTAACGTATTTCATGTACTTGCATTCTACTCTTTTCTATTTCTTCTCTTTCTTACATTAATATACTTTCTGTATTGTACTTTTCAAAAGTGCCTTGTTTTTACTGTAAATATCATTTGAAAATGTGCTGTTGTTTTACAGTCTACCTTTATACAATAAAACCGTTTGTAAACAAAAAAAAATAAATCAGTCTTTCAAAAATATAGTTCATAAACTTCTCCTTGAATAAAGTGCAAATATAGTGCCATGCGTTCATAAATTCCGTGCCAGTTCTTTCATGCTCAGGTGTCAACCCACTCATATTTAAACTTACCAGAAAAATATGGCCTCTTAACCTTAAAGCGGTAGTAAAATGCACCAAAAAAAATACATGAATAAATTAGGCCCCTGGAGAATAATGTCATAATCTGCTAATATGCATCACATGCATGAAGGTAAAAAGCCTTCTCTGTGCCCGTTATAACTACTTAAAGTCCAGCGACATACCAGTACATCACTGATCCTTGTTGGGCATATATGCAATGTTCTTTTTTTTTTTTCATGCAACCTGTGGGCTGAACAAATATAAGAGAACCTAACAGATTCCTCCATTCAAATTGATCAATGTGGATGAAGAAATCTCTGCAAGAAAAAGTGTGTGGTATGCCCACCATTATAATATACTGTCCTGCATCCACCCACTTCTAATATTGGGCATACATGTAATGTTTTTTTTTTCGTTCAGCCCATGGGCTGAATGAGAAAAAGACCCTAAGAGATTCCTCCATTCACATCGATCAATGTGGATGAAGAAATCTCTGCCAGAAAAAAGGAAAAATATATATCTCAAAGCATAGGGGCAATCCTCCCACTGACCTCCCCAGGCCCCCATGCTTGGGCATATATGTTCTTTTTTTAACAATGGATGAAAAATCTCATCCAACACTGCTGCACACACTGATGTATATTCTGAGAGCAAGACCCCCATTACTGTCAGAATAAACAGATCAGTGCTGCAGCTGAATGGTGTTCCTGCAAAGCAAACAGCAACAGTTAACAATAAAACACAGTAACAATAGAACATTAACTCAATAAAACGACAACTTTTTAAATTGAAATCTCTGCCACAAAAATATTTTAAAATATATGCTGAAGCATAGGGGCGATCCATCCACTGACCACTCCAGGCTTCAATGCTTGGGAATACTATTTATGTTCTTTTTTTAACTGTGGATGAAATATCTCATCGAACAGCGCTGCATGCACTGACGTATATTCTGAGAGCAAAACCCTGTTGCTGTCAGAATTAATAGATCGATGCTGCAGCTGAATGCAAAGCAAACAACAACGGTTAACAATAAAACACAGTGATACTAGAACGTTAATTCAAAAAAACAATAACTGAATGGTATTCCTGCAAAGAAAACAATGGTTAACAATAAAACAAAAAAGAAACAATAGAACATTAACTCAATAAAATGACAACTTTTTTTGGAGATTTTTATTTATTTATAAATTTTTTAAATACCTTTGAAATTTTTTTGTAACCTTTTTTTTTACTTTTAACTAGTTGCCGACCGCAGATAGCCGAATGACGGCTTCACTGCGGCCGGCCAGTTCTGGGTGGACGTCATATGACGTCCCCCCAGAACGCGCTCTCCTGCGCGCCCCAGGGGGCGTGCACCCGGCGATCTCCGTGATCGCTGTGTCCTACGGACACAGCTGATCACGAGATGTGGTAAAAGGCTGATCATACCGGCCTTTTACCACGTGATCAGCGGTGTCCAATGACACGCTGATCACAGGGAAATGCAAGTGCCGGTTCTCGGCTGCACTTTCCTCACGCTGTCAGATCGTGAGGAAAGTACTGCCGAGAACCGGCAGTTGTCAGAGCGAGGATCGGCACCGATCATCAGGGCCACTGATGATCAGTGCCCTGATGATCGGTGCCCAGCAGTGCCACCCACAAGTTCCGCCCACCTGTGCCCAGCAGTGCGCTCACTAGCTCCACCCACCTGTGCCCAGCAGTGCACCCACCTGTGCCCAGCAGTGCACCCACCTGTGCCCAGCATGCACCCACCTGTGCCACTCTGCAGTGTCACACACCTGTGCCCAGAAGTGCCACCTACCTGTGCCCAGCAGTGCCACCCACCTGTGCCCACCCACCTGTGCCCATCAGTGCTACCCACCTGTGCCCACCAGTGCCACCCACCTGTGCCCACCCACCAGTGCTGCCCACCAGTGCCACCCACCAGTGCAGCCCAGCAGTGCTGCCAGTCAGTGCCACCAGTCAGTGCCCAGAGGTTGTGCCAGTCAGTGCCGCCAGTCAGTGCCCAGCAGTGATGCCAGTCAGTGCCATCTATCAGTCCCATCATCAGTGTCACCTATCAGTGCCGCCTATCAGTGCTGCATATTAGTGCCGCCTATCCGTGACACTTCATTAGTGCTGCCTATCAGTGCCGCCTATCCGTGCCACCTCATTAGTACTGCCTATCAGTGCCCTTTAGTGCTGCCTATCAGTGCCCATCAGTGCCGCCTATCAGTGCCCATCAGTGCCGCCTCATCAACGCACATCAGTGAAGGAGAAAAAATACCTGTTTGAAAAATTTTATAATAGAAACAAAGAAACTTTTTTTTTTTTTCAAATTTTTTGCACTTTTTTAATTTATAGCGCAAAAAGTAAAGCGGCCAGTGGTGATTAAATACCACCAAAAGAAAGCTCTATTTGTGAGAAAAAAATGATCAAAATTTCATATGGGTACAATGTTGCATGACCGCGCAGATGTCAATCAAAGTGCGGCAGCGCTGAAAGCTGAAAATTGGCCTGGTAAGGAAGGGGGTATAAGTGCCTGGTAGGCAAGTGGTTAAGAACAGCCTCAGATTTTTGGGTCACTCAAAATGAGACAGTTTCCTGACTATCTAACATCTCTCAAAACCCTGTGTAAAAATGGTGAACATCACTAGTGTGTGGTAACGACGGAAGCAGTCCTTGAGGCAGAGACCAGGTTGGCCAGGACAGGAGGGACAAAAAAAGCGGGTGTCACATCTTATTCTGTGTCTGCTATAGACACATCTTCTATGGGGTGACCTTTTGGTTGCGGTACCAGAGAGGATATGAGCGAAAATGCCTTTCATGCAGCCGTCTAACTGCATCTGGATTTGGGGATTGGGCCACAGCATCTTCTGGATACAAAAGGGCCGTGATGATCTCTTCCTGAAATTGTTTTTTTCTACCAAGAAAGCAAAATCTAGGGCACATGTTCACCATAGGATCTCGAAAGATGTTAGATAGTCAGGAAGCTGTCACATTTTGAGAGACCCAAAAATCAGAGGTTGTTCTTAAGTTTAAAAAAAAGTTTAAAAAAAAACATTTAAAAGTTTTTAAAAACAGAATTTTACAGTACAAAGAATTGAATTGTATAAAGATTATACAGAAACGGTAAGAAACAATTAAAAAAAAAACCAAAGAAAATCAACATGGTGACAATGTAAATAGAGTACCAATCATGACATGGAAGTAAAGACCTGTACAGAGTATATATCTGTCTACTGCACGGGCGGGACAGCTAGTCATCACATCCCAGTATGGAGAGAGCAAAGTTACCACAAAAAAAGGTAGTATATTGTATGTGAGTACGTATCTAGACAAGAAATAGAGAAACATAAAACGAATGTACAGTCTATATATACGGGGCCACAAAAAGCCCATCCCATCTAGGCGCAGGAATACGCAGATTACAACCAATGGTCCCATATTTAACATATATAAATTTCTTCAAAGGTAGAGTATTATTAATATCCACCCTCCACTCCTCCAAAGTTGTAGGGAGTGCCTGCATGCAATGGCGGGCTACCAATTTCCTGGCACCTCTTCCTGCAATCTTAGGAGGGATCCACTTTCTTCAGTTGCTTTACCAATTACAAAAGCATTATACATAGCCATATGTAATAAATAAATAGACACCTTTTTGTGCCAGTGGTGAACTTTGCACGAAACTAGGTACAGATTCATCATTTGGTCACCCCTCCTATGTTAAGCTTATAGTTGTGGACATAGAGGGGTTTCTCAACAATGCCAGATGTGTTTGGATGGTCGTATCTGCATAAATGGAAGACAGGACGAAAACATCCCCTTTGTCTTTCCACTTTACTGCAAGCAGTTCATCATTTCTCAAGATGCACTCCACCACCACCACCATCCAAACGTAGCAAGCTTTCCAAGGACAACATTGAGCAAAGTCCTTTTTCCTGGACCTGAGAGATCTTCCAAGAAACCAGTAGAGCTGGTAGTTCGTGCAGGCTGTGGAGCTGAAAGCACCTTGTTAGGGGGAGAGAAGACGTCCTTGCATGTAGCTATGAGAAGTGAAGTGATTTTTAAGGGGCTGCTAGTTCCTCGCCCATAAGGGGCAGTTGCTTCTGATCTGCAATGACTGATGGCTTTCAGGAAAAGAACAGTCCAGGGTCTGCTTTTGTAGGAATGAAGTGTCCCGCTTCCATTATTTCAAGCCGAAGTGGGATCCCATAATCCCTATTTTCCTATCCAAGTTGAAATCCCCTAATAAAAAAACAAAACCAAATTCATGGACTGGTCACCATCTTTGGATGCAAGTCTGTCTGAAAAATACCTGTTGCATGGCTGTGCAGAGGGAAGCTTAGGGATACCCACAATACAGCGGCCCTCATGAGGGTAGTCCTACAGGCATGATTGGAATTACACTGAAAAACACATTCTGCTACTCCTCCCAAGTATGGTGATACCTCAAATGTGAGACTTTTTTACAGCCTAACCCCATAGAAGGGCTCAAAAGTAAAGAAGCACTTTCAGTCTTGCAAGAGGCATACCTGTAAATTATGCATCTAATTTCCTGACTACCTATCACATTTTTGGAGGCTCTGGAGCATTAGGACAGTAGAAACACCCACAGTGACAGTGTGTTAAAAATGATCACAGTGCCAATAACTGTAGGAAACACTTTGTTTCCTCTCACAGCCCATCGAAATGGAACACAGGTTCCAGGATGTAGCCTATGTTTACATATGTAATCACTGTGATTGTCCTTGTACCCAAATCTGTGATCTGCTGTGTTTGAAGGATGCAGTGATCACAAGGTGCACTGCTGGAAGGATGGACACAGCAATAATATGGTACATGGCTCCTCAAGAAGGAGCCATCCAGTCGTTCATCTACAACGGCCAGACAGCAAGTCTTAACAATATTGTTAAGGACAATTACAACGAAACTTTACCATAAGAGAGGCCCTGGTGTTGCTGTGGACACATCTTCCAACTTTAAGCCCCACAGAAGCAAGGAGAGATTAGTTATAGAGTGCCAGTCCAAATCCTCCAGGACCAGTGGCTTCCAAAGTAGGGAAACAGTTAATTTTTTGGACAACCAGCATTCTTTGCCAACTGATAAAGAAATCAGCAACCTCTGCTCATGATGAACAGTTTTGCAAGTTTATTTATAAAAGCTACAAATTAAAGATTAAATAATTTAGCAAAGAAATAGCACTGCTGTGTATGTCTGACAATTGATTGCCAAAGACATAGCATCTTCGCAGAAACACAAGCTTTTTTAAAGACAGATTTATAAAAGCTTCCTAAAAAATTAACTAGATGAAACTTTATTTTCTATTAATATGGCATAGCTTAAATGCCTGAAATGCCTTGCAGTACATTAGCCGGAGATGAATCATCTCTCCAAAACTTAACAAGATCTTCTACAGTAATAACATTCTGCAAAGCCATTGTATCAAGCAGACCTGTTATTATACTAACATTAGCATATTAATCAGTTAATATTGTCATTTAACCATTAGTAAATCATAAAATAAATATTTTTCTGTCTCAAAGATTTGGAGTTATTCCTATTTGTGTTAGTACACAAGGGTTGATATTGTCACTTGTGTATAGTACTTTATTTAGATACTGTAGGTTGCCTGGGGACAGGTAGGTTAGAGAAGGATTGAGCAGAAAGTACAGGTGAAATTTAAAAAATTAGAATATCGTGCAAAAGTTCATTTATTTCAGTAATGCAACTTAAAGCTGAAAATAATATATGAGATAGACTCATTACATGTAAAGCAAGATAGTTAAAGCCGTGATTTGTCATAATTGTGATGATTATGGCTTACAGCTCATGAAAACCCAAATCCACAATCTCAGAAAATTAGAATATTGTGAAAAGGTGCAATATCTCGGCTCAAAGTGTCCCACTCTAATCAGCTAATTAAGCCATCACACCTGCAAAGGGTTCCTGAGCCTTTAAATGGTCTCTCAGTCTGGTTCAGTAGGAATCACAATCATGGGAAAGACTGCTGACCTGACAGTTGTGCAGAAAACCATCATTGACACCCTCCATAAGGAGGGAGAGCCTCAAAAGGTAATTGCAAAAGAAGTTGGATGTTCCCAAAGTGCTGTATCAAAGCACATTAATGGAAAGTTATGTGGAAGGGAAAAGTGTGGAAGAAAAAGGTACACAAGCAGCAGGGATGACTGTATACTGGAGAGGATTGTCAGGAAAATGCCATTCAAAAGTGTTGGGTACTTTCACAAGGCGTGGACTGAGGCTAGAGTCAGTGCATCAAGAGCCACCACACACACAGACAGATCCTGGACATGGGCTTCAAATGTTGTATTCCTCTTGTCAAGCCGCTCCTGAACAACAAACAACGTCAGAAGCGTCTTACCTGGGCTAAAGAAAAACACACCTGGTCTGTTGCTCAGTGGTCCAAAGTCCTCTTTTCTGATGAGAGCAACTTTTGCATCTCATTTGGAAACCAAGGACCCAGAGTATGGAGGAAGAATGGAGAGGTACACACTGCAAGATGCTTGAAGTCCAATGTGAAGTTTCCACAGTCTGTGTTGATTTGGGGAGCCATGTCATCTGCTGGTGTTGGTCCACTGTGCTTCATTAAGTCCAGGGTCAACGCAGCCGTCTACACGGAGATTTCGGAGCACTTCATGCTTCCTTCCGCAGACGAGCATTATGGGGATGCTGACTTCATTTTCCAGCAGGACTTGGCACCTGCATGCCCACACTGCCAAAAGCACCAAAACCTGGTTCAATGATCATGGGATTACTGTGCTTGATTGGCCAGCAAACTCTCCTGACCTGAACCCCATAGAGAATCTATGGGGCATTGCCAAGAGAAAGATAAGAGACATGAGACCGAACAATGCAGAAGAGCTGAGGGCCGCTATTGAAGCGTCCTGGTCTTCCATAACACCTCAGCAGTGCCACAGGCTGATAGCTTCCATACCATGCCGCATTGAGGCAGTAATTGCAAAAGGGGCCCAAACCAAGTACTGAGTACATATGCATGCTTATACTTTTCAGAGGTCCGATATTGTTCTATGTACAATCCTTGTTTTATTGATTGCATGTAATATTCTAATTTTCTGAG